TTTCACTCTTTAAAATGAAGCCAAACATGGCAATGACAGTGGAATGAAAAAAATACTCAAAAAGAAAGCCCTATGTTCAGGAAATGAGAAAATTAAAATGAAAAAAAAAATCACTTGATTTCACACCAAATAAACCATATTATACTGGTTGTCATCCAAGCCAAGATTTTTCTCAAGGAAAATGCAAACAAGCTCACTGCTATTAAAGTCTTCGTTCCTCGCCCAGTTCCCAGTCTCCCAGGTCAGTCTGTAAGAGTTCCCGAAGGACCCAGGGGAGACTATTCCATCGCTGCTTCCAGCTGGCTTCATTCTCTCTGAGATTAGAGTTTTCAGAGGAGTGTATTGTGATCCTGTGTGTGTGTGTTGGGGGTGGTGAAAAGAGGCAGCAGCCTCTTTTCAGGAACACACGAGGAGCATTTAGGTCCTACTCCCGAAGGGGAGAATGAGCAACACGTCACCACTCTGTGAAGAAGCTCCAGGTTGTGTGAGCAAGGGGGGTGCTAGCCCTTCTTCAACACCCTCCTCTCAGGTGCTCTGAGCTCTCCTTCAGGTGAGAAAGGGAAAAGAAAGCAGAAGTGATACTGAGCCGGACAAGAGATATGCCATGCATAAAAGAAGGATGACCAAATTCTAGCTACCCCCAAATTCTGCATGATTTTTTGGCCTTCGTTTCAGAAGATTATTCAAAGCAAAGTTGGGAGCTGGTGATTAGAAAATATGAATGTTAGGATATTGAAAAAAGGGGATGTAGTGGGGGAAGTGAATAGACACAAGGTCAAGTCATTTAGATATATTTGTGTTGGCTAAATCCAAGCTCAGACCCTTCATTACCATACTTGGTCCTCAGATGATGGCCTCTGGCTGGCATGTCAGTATTTCTGGGCTTTCTTTATCATATTGAAGATATTTATTTGGGTAGTTGGGTCTCCAGTTTGCGAACCACAACTGCAGAGCCTAAAAGCCTGAGTTTCCCTCAAACATTACATGTTTTTTCCTTCTTCCTTTCCTTCTAGATTCACCCAACTCCCACCCTTTTTTTTCTACTTCCGGCAAGTTATGCAGACATATTTTCACTGGGACCTACAGTGAATGCAGCCCTTTTAAACCTGGAACTTAACTACTCTTGAAAGCTTCTCTAGGCAACATTCCTCCAATTCCATCCTATCATAAACTCCTGTTATGAGGAAAGCATCCCATTATGTGATTTGGAAGATACAAAAACATGCCAGTCCTGTATATTTATTTATCTATTGCAGCATTAAAAATTACTCCAAAACCTAACAACATACAGCAACAAACACTTATCTTACAGTTCCTGTGGCTCAGAAATTGAGAGGTGGTTTAACTGGGTGGTTCCAGCTCTGGGTCAGTCACAAGGCTGTAAATCAAGGCAGGAGCCGCAGTCATTTCAAGGTTCAATGGGCGGAGAGGATCCCCGTACAAGCTCATTCACACATGCCTTTCCACAGGACTGCCTCTGTGCTTTTCCTTCCTTGTTGGCCCGTCATCTTCCAGAGCGTTGCTAGCTGGATAGCCTGTGATAGCCTGGCCTTGCTTCCATGGTGGCTGGGCTGGAGGAAGAGGCAAGGATAGAGGGAGAGGGGAAGAAAGAGAAGGGAGAAGAAGAGGAGGGGAACAAGGAGGAAAAGGAGAAAGGGAGAAAAGAAGGGAGAGAGAGAGAAAAGGAGGAAGAGGGGAGGAGCAAGAGATCTTGACCAAGATGGATGCCAGCCTTCTTATAACCTTATGCTGAAACTGACGTCCTGTCATTTCTGCCATAGACGTAAGTCAATACAACCAACTCACACTCAAGAAGAGAACAATATGTGGGAGGTGAATGCCAACAGACGGGCATCACTGGCGGGCCATTTTAGAGCCTACCAGGCTCCACAACTTAGACAAACATTGACATGTACAGATACAGCAGGTACAAACAAGTTGTGTAACAGTAGAAGAGAATGCTCTGACATGGCAGAAAGGGAACTCAAAATCATGTGGGAGAGGCTTGGAAGGCTCCTTAAAGGAGGCAAAATTCTAGGTCTCCAATAGAGCTCAGAACAGGCATTTCAGGCAGCCAGAACTTCTTGAGCAAGTGACCTGGGGTTGGAGCAAGCATCAAAATTATTTGGAGGGCCTGTTAAGCAAGCACCGAAATTACTCAGAGGGCTTGTTAAGTGAAACTGGCTGGGCCCCACTTGCAGAGTTTCTGGTTCAGTAAGCCAGTGGGCAGACAGGGGAGGGGGAGGAGAAGGCACCGAGAATTTGCGTTTCAGGCAACAGCTGATGCCTGTGGTCCAGGGACCATGCTTTGAGGGTCCCCGACAAGAGCAAAGGCTTGGAAGTAGAGCATATTTCGAAAGTAAAAAAATAGAATCTTTTTATTTGTCAATTTGGACTGATCCAGTTAGTTTCAGAGTCATCTTAGAATTGGTGGAAACAAAAGCCATTAGTCTGTGCTTAAGGAATCCCAAACTATCAACTTCTGGTGCTGGGAAGGATTCAGAGAATCTAAACTCATTATTTTACAAATCAGGAAAGTGAGGCTCAAACAGATAATGAGCTTTTCTTTAAAATCAGATGGGAAGAAAAGGGAAGAGAAATAAATACATACATACATACATACATACATAAATAAATGTCGGATGGATGTCTGTGGTTCCCTTACTCCAGGGCTCCTGAAAGAAATGTACTAGAGCCATTTTTCTTTGGAGGTTGAGTGCTATTTGAAATGAACTAACGAGTTTGTGATGGATTCTCCCAGGAGACCGACCACTCACCCACTATAAAATGCATATTCCCACACTTAGGTAGGGAAGGGAGGCTGAAAGAACTCTCAGAACACCTCCGGGTCCATTAGACAAGTTTCCTGGTGCAAATGGGTGCATGTAATGCCTGCCTGGCTTCTGCTCAATGAACAGAAGCCTTCCTGACACGTCTGCCGTCCCTCCCCCTCCACCGTCCTTTTTCTCTCACAAGGCCTCGGGTGTACACATTTGGTTGCCTAAACTCTGCAACATTTGGATTTGGGGTGCTGTTTCTTTTTAAAGTCTAAATAATTAATCGACTCTCAGTGAAAACGGGGATGCGTCCATCTGGACTCCTAAAATATGCTCTCCGTGGAAAGAGGGTAGTGAAACCCTGTGAACCCCGCAGCTTGTTCCTTGCAATGTGTGCACTAAATTAACTTGATGCCTTTGTTCTATTGTCTGAGCTTTTGTCACCTTTTATTTGACTGAATTTAGGGAAACAGTATGAAGACATTTAAAAGAGGCCCAAGGGGATCTCATTTGCACATTCAAATACAAGCAGTTTTTATCATTATTCCCCTGCCCCTGACTTCATTTACTCTCACTTTCCCCCCTAGTTACTGTTCTTCACCCCACTCTGACATACGAGGCCTGTCTGGAAAAAGTCCAGCCATTGTTAATATGATAACAGTTTGTGCAACATCCATGTCAGCTGGCAGCCGAGGAGAGTGGACTGGAATGTGCATGCATAAACAATGACCACTTCACTGTACTAGTCAGTGGGGACAGTAGATGCCCTTGAATGAGCATGTGTACTGTGTGGCTGTCACATTCAATACTGCTGCATCAAAGTTTGTGTTAATCTTGACTATTCCTCCATAGAAACTATTCAGATGATTCAGAAGGCTGCAGCTATGGGCAGCTGGTGATTGGCAGCTTCATTACGACAATGCGCCTGCTCATATATCGCCTCTACTGCCGAGGTTTTTGGTGAAACATCAAATCACCCAGGTGACTCACCTCCCCTGCAACCCAGATTTGGCACCCTGCAACTTCTGGGTTTTCCCAAAACTAAAATCACCTTTGAAAGGGAAGAGATTTCAGATCATTGATGAGATTCAGGAAAATACAATGGGGCAGCTGATAGCGATTGGGAGAACTGTGTGAGGTCCCAAGGTGCCTACTTTAAAGGACACTAAGGTGTCATTCATTGTCTTATCTGCAATATTTCATGTATCTTTTTCAATAAATGTCTCTATTTTTCATATTGCATGGCTGGATACCTTCTGGACAGACCTCATACATTCTTGCTTCAAAAGCAGAAACAAAGATTCTAAAGGCAACTGAACTGTAACCCCCTTTCCACTTGTGGTTTCTGCAGAAACTTGCTTAGGCACAAATGTCTCTTTAATTGTGACATTCTGAAGAGTCCTAAATCTCACCACTCGCACTCCCTCCTAAAGTTAGGACCTGTCCTAAGTGAAAGGTAAACCACAGACAAACTGAAGTTGGCCACAACCTCGCTGCAGATTCCCTCACACTGAAACCTGGTTTCTGAGCATATATTTGTTAACTGGGATGAGAGGATGCCATGTAGCTAATGTCTTTTTGAAAAGTTGAGAGGTGAGAATGGCAAATTGAATATCCATTTTATTCATTGCCTTTACCCATTTAACCACAAATTGTTTCCTCTTCTCCCACTGAGCACCGTTTAATGAGCTGCATCAGGTGTACAATGGAAGCAGTGAACCACAGATGGAAGAACATGTCCCGTGACCAAGCACACCAGTAAGACCCTGCCTTCTCCACTTCCCAGGTGTCTGGGCCTCATCAAGTAATTTAACGTCTCCAGGCCTCAGGTTCTTCATCTGGGCCGCGGTTTCCTCACCTGGAACGGAGGTGATAAAATGGAGTTGCCAGGAAGATCACAGACTCTGCGTGGATACCTAAATTCAATAAATAGTAGTTCGGTGACTGAGGCAATAAATTAAACACACGATTTTTTTTTTCTCAAGAAGCGCACAATCTCCATTTACATTGTGGCCAGCTTGATTTTATTTTTCATTGGCTCGGAACCGTTTTTGTATATCTTACTCTCAATTCCAGCTCAATTAGAGAAATCCAAATTTACCCGAACGGTAGTCCAGGATCAGTGTCTGACTTGCACTAAAAGGCCTGATGGGCTTTTCCCAACCAAGACCAAGTTATTAACAACTTTGTTGTTTTCTAAATCATTAGGAAGAAACTGTCAGAAAGGAATCATTCTTTGTATCTTCTGGGGGTTGATAGGAAAAAAGAATTTTAAAATGTTGGAGCCTGAAGCATCAGTCACTGACATATATTCATCTGAAACAAAGATGGCTTTAAAAAAATCTGCGGTGCACATACACAAGGAAAGAAAGATACTTTGGCTGCAAAAACTCCCCATCTTCTCTGGGGAAGCTCAGGCCCCTGCCTGCTGTTCATCAGCCTTGATTTTGATGGGGTGATTTTTAGTCAGCTGCCTCAATCATTTTGGCACAGACAAAAATCCTTTAAAAAATGTTACACTTCATCAAAGTGTATCATGAGACTTCACGGTCATTATCTCAATGGTCGCTCTGATGTGCTACAATTGGCAAAGACACAAACAGTAGGGGGTGGATGAGAAGAAAGCCAACGTTTCGTGTGGAAAGCTGGCAAGCCTCGCCAAGCTTCTGTCAACAACTCCGTGGTCTGATCCGATGCACTGAGCGTGCTGATGATGCTCTTGTTTCTGGAGGAAGTAAACAAGAAAATGAATTCCACCACGCAACACAGCCTCTTTGTATCTTCTAAATGGTGTGACTGGACCCGGGCCAGCTGTGTTGAAAGTTTGGCCATTTATGTCATCAGGGCCCCAGTACTGATGGAGGCTTTGATTACGACTTGGACCCAGCTATAAGACCCTTCAGGGGCAGCCACGCAGCAAATAAAGGCATTGATTGGTTGTTGGGTCAATTTAGCCATAAGGGTACAGAGCATGGCTCTTTTGAAAAGCCTAATGGATTAGCTACACAACCAGTCTCACTGTAGGCCTTATTTTTCAAGTAACTCCATGACAGTTTTCCAGCTTGGCAGGGAACTAACTCTTCTTCCAAAGCAAGCTTCAGAGCTGTTCTTACTATCAATAGTAGGGCTCAAAGGATTAGACACAGCGGGCTTTACAATTTAATGAAAACAGCTGTTGAAGCAACAATTAAGGCCAACAATAGTTTGCATGGAAAGCTATTAATTATGTAAAGTTATGCAGAAAGAGGAATACGCTTTTATTCAGGGCCTTCTAAAGCTACTGAGCTGCCTTCCATTCCATGCCTCTCAAGTGCCAGGAAGTAGGGGTGCTTGTAGGAAGTGGTCCCCTGCGTGTGGGTTGACTGTGTCATCAGAGCTCCAGGCTGCCAGTTTGCTGCACAGCCAGCCATGGGTGAAATATGCAGGAAAGAATACCCGTTTACTCAACATTACTTTGGGTACCTCACATACAAACTCAGAGCCACGTTTTCACAGGTTTCTGAAACGCAGTTTGAGTCTTGTGGTGGGGATCTTTACTTTGGCCTGAAAACATTTTTTTGTGTGTATAATATGCCCTCTTTTGGGCCTCATTCACCCTGAGATGTTATTACCAACATTATTTTCTAAGTCATTAGTAGGAACTCTTAGGAAAAAAAGTCACTCTTGGGGAATTGGTGACGCCCCTTGTTCTTTGGACTAAGTAACTTTTCATTCTATTGGGATGGTCCAACACGGACTTCCAGCCACCCCCACTCCTCCCTTAGAACACCTCATCTCTCCTTCCCCTCCGTCTGCTTGCTGGGGCTTTTAAAGTCATTGCTTCTCTCCCTGCAATTTCCATCCTTGACTAACAGTGCTGGGAATTGACTTATAGCCCTTCTCCAACCCTGTGTTCCACATCTCACTTTCTTCTCATATGGGAATCACCAAGCCAAGAAGTCCCATTAAGAAGGTTATTAACTGTATACATAAACATTGCCTCCTGCCTACAGTTAGATTTATTTCTCATCACTTCCAAGTAACTGGTTTTAACACTCTTTCCAGCACACCCAACACCTTTTATTTGACTATATTGTTTTAGAGAGGCCTTCGGGAATTTAGCTAATTTCACGCTGGAACTTATTAAGTGGGATTTGACACTCTTTGATAATTCCAATAAACCATTAGTCATGTCTCACTCCCTTAGGGAAAGAATGAAAGCTTTATTAGTCATAGATTCTTTATTCTAAACATGTTACCCGAATTTAGTGGCATATCAGTACTGAAATGCAATTGACTAGATTGAATAGAACTTTCCCTGAAACTATAAGAAAGCTGTCATTGGCTATCAACAGGAAGAGAGCATTTGTCTTTTTCAGAAAAATTTCATTAAGTTCACCTGAGCATTATGAAATAATTCAGTGAACTTAATTTACTGTAAGTGTTAATAAAATGAACAGTGCATGTGCAAGCACACACACATATATACACATACGCCAATTGTCTTTAAAGTACTTGATTTCGTTCTGTCCTCCACCCAGGATACAAGCATGAGCTTCTTTCCTTCTATGGACAGTTTTAAACCTGCAGAGGCGGCATCTCTGGAAGGCCCCAGAACAAAATTGAGTGGGCAAATGACGTTCATTACTAGGGCCACAACAATAATCCAATTAACATGTATTTATGTAATGCTTTTAAATCATTCTAAACTACAAACCACACTCATCCTTGAAGTATAAGGAAAAATAAGTGCCACGTCCTAGCACACTCCAGTTCACACTTCGCACCGGAGAGTACAAAACAGCATCAAGATTGCAAAAGCAATTATTCCAGTTAGCCAGATGTGATTTTTCAATCATTCTAAGAATTTTATTTTTTAGCCGTTCTTATTCCAGTGGCACCACTCACAGCTCTCATGCTGGCACCGTGCTTACATCTCTTCATTATTAATTCAGCTCATGGAGCTTAATTGGACAAGGCTAGAGCGAATTTGACAAACATCACAGCAGCAGAAAAAGCAATCACTCTTTCAAGATGAAAATTTGTTTGATGTCTTACTGTGTAACTCATTTACTCTCCTCGGGAGTCATGTGACCTGAATGTTAATCAGTCATTGATTGGTTCCTCTCCTTGGACAGTTATGCGACTCGAATATTAATGGGCTGGCACTTGGTAGCTGTGCTGTTAGGCAACCTTGTGATTGGCTGCCAGGTTAAGATACGGAGATAAGTGGGTGCTTGATGAGCACTTGACAGAACTTCACAGAAAATTAAGGCCCTAAAATAGCATGAGAAAGTCTTGTCAAATCAAGCATGATTATCATTGAATGCTTAAGGAATTCATCATCTGCATGAAATTGATACACTTCAGCACCAGTAAGCCCTGTAGTCAGCAGGGACTCATCAGATTTTTATTTATATGTGTTCACCAAATCACATTAATTCTGAGAGCTAAAACATGCTAAAGATGAAGGTTATTTTCTGTTCAATCTAATTTATCTATGACAATAATCATCACTAATAATGTGTCAAATTGGATCACAGTCATTTTATGCATGCATGCTGATTCGGAAAATAGTGTTAAACCATCCCGAGGTAATTAACAACCGGTAAAGGTATGCCGGCCTGAAGTAATCAGCATATCTAGATGGGAAATTAAGTTTTATAGAATGAATTTATAGATACATATCCTTATTTAATTCGGAGTATAAATTATTCCTGGTAAAAGCCGACATCATTTTTACAACACCATTAAGGCCAATAACCATTGAGGGACTCGAATCCTTAATTTGCTCCATCCTTCACTTTTTCTCTCATTTTCTGTGGCTAACTTTTTAATGGATGTCACTTCCTTCTTGGCAAGGCCTCGTTTTTGAGGGGTTTGGTAGGACTAAGCGATGAATGAATATGCATTCGTTTAAGTGTTAATCATGGATGAAGGACTCTGCATCATACCTCTTAATACACAATGCTTTATAATTATTGGCGGGGCTTGGGAGGTGGGCCAAACTTTGGCCTTTTGCTGTTTCTCTAGTTCTCCTCACAAAGAGACAACAGGAAATTTTGCAGATTAACTCATAAAGGATTAATGTTTCTTGGGGACTCATTTAAGCTTAAATCTCTTTTGTTGAAATACCTTTTATGGAATAGAAGCTGTGGGTTTTTTTTTTCTTTTTAAATAACCTCCTGCTTTACAAGGGCATTATTTGAGTAACAGAGTATTGGAGTAATAAAATCTTAAAGTAATGTTTTACCCTTTGGTGAGCTCAGCTAAAATGTCTGAGGGGAGACTGACAACCTGAAAGAGGGGGGGAATAAAAATAAATACACGTAAACTGTTGTTTCTTTCCCATCACTACCCCTCCCCGCTCCTCACTGCACACGCCCCCCCCTCCGCCCACCCCCATCTTAATCTCCTGTGCGACCAGGACCGCCCCTATTCTCTCCCCCTCTCTCAGGAGGTCTCTTTATTGATTAAATGAATCTGCTCCAAAGGCTGGCTCCCAGGGTCTTTGATCTAATCCGATCTGATTTTATCCTATCGCTTCAGCAGGACATCGGGGAATTAACAATAAGCAGCTTTACCACAAGTGTTTAATAACTCAACACAATCTCCTTATGGCTCCGAGCTGCTCATGTTCCCATCCAGTCCACCACAGCAAACAGTGTAACAGATTGGCCATCCCCCCATGAACCCGAGGAATTTTCATGCACTGTGAAAATAATCGCTTCAAGTTCCTTCATAAATCATACAAAGCAGATTTTAGCATCTTAACAAATTGAAAAAAACCCCAGCAGAGTGGGTTTTTTTTTTGGGGGGGGGGGTGGCTGACAGAGAACTCACCCTCTGGGCTTTCAATATTGCAGTGGGGGAAGGGGCAGATGTAAAATAACTTACGCTTCTCATGCAATATGTTTCTCATCTCCTTAAATTTTAACATGAATGAAATATAATAATTTGGGCAGGCTCAAACCTAACAATGCTCCAAGCTCACAACTGACCTTATTTTTTTTTTCCACTGTGATGGAAACGATGTTGTTCCAGCCACAGGCTTCTTGCTGTTGTTCCTGTGACAGCCCTTGAAGTATGCAAGAAAAACACAATTACACAAGGGTTGTGCACCCACACGGTGCAGACAGCCAAGATGTTCGGCTGAAATGGTACATCCCCTGGATTTCAAACCAGCGTGCATGCATAAAGGGGCACCTTAAATTACCACTCAATTACAAAATGCCATTCTTGAAATGCCACTTTTTTTCACCCATGGCTGCTCCTCTATATACATCTCTAGCTCTACATTGCAAAGGCAGAATTTTTTAATATCTTCCTCACCTCCAAAGAAAAAAAAAGTGCATTTTACCTCTCTTCTCCAAGTATCACAAGCACAGTGGGTCAAGGTGACTCCTTTCCTAAGGCAGAATTTGTGATGCAATGGCTCACCCTTATGCCAGAAGGGACGGATGGAGCTGGGAGTCTGTGGAGACACGCGGAGGGAAAACGGGCCTGTGAAAGCTGCCGGATTATTAGTGTCCTGGGGAAAATTTCACTCCAGCACTAATCTAAAATAAACCATCTTTTAGTTGCTCTATTTAATACCTACTGTACATCAGAATTACCTATAAAAACATGTTTCATAACAGAGAAACAGCCCCATCTCTCCACCTCTGCCATTGTTCTCTCCATTGCCCTGGCAGTTCTGTGGTTTCTTGCTACCTCAGCAGAGTAACGAAGTGCCCTCTCACTGAACATCTGGGGGCCCAGGGAGTTTTGTGATTCGGGTTCAGGCCAGATTACTATTGCTACAGTGAGAGCTTTTTTCCATATCCCCAGGGTCCAGGGTACTTACAAATTCACTCAGATATAGCTGGATGTTTCACTGCTGCGTTCCAAAGTAAAAACATTTATTTTTGTATCCGCATATCCTCCTCCACCCACGTCCATTCATCAGTATTTATCCAGATTTTCCCACCACTACATGAATCCAACATTTTGTGATTGCCCCCAACTCCCCACCCCAAAAAAGGAGACTCTGATTTTGTGATTGCTACTCAATATGGAATGGAACGCTACCATGAATAGAGTTATTATTTCCTCTTTGGAAATGCCTTTTGCTTTACTTTTTTTCCCTCTCAGATAAACTATGTCATAACAGAAAAATCCCTGTGAAGTTCTCCAAAGAACTCTATGCCACTTCCAGACCTTGGAACTATAATTATGCCTTGCGTAACCAAAACAGAAAGAGCATCCCCTGCCAACTGCGAGTGCCCGTTTAAATCAGAGAGAGATAGCAAAATGTACTCAGGAAAGTTCCAGCCAAGGTAATTGAGAGGGCTGCCTGAACCCACCTCTGCTTTCTAAATATTGCCCCTGGGTGAGGAACTGGGAAGCAGAGGAAAGGAAAGCATGGAATGAGGGCCCCAGCCAGAGGCCTGTTGACATTTCCTGCCGGGGCCCGATGTTACAGAGTTCAGTGACTTTCGGGGCTGGTGTTGACTGAAGTCTTGTTGCACACTCAGTCCAGGTGCTTCTACTGGGGAGCTTCAGAGCTATCACTCGGCTGTGTGGTGGCCTTCAGGTGTCCTGGATCCCTGCACTCAACTGCAGAAGTTCAGAGCATTTCACCAGGGTGTAAACATTCTTGACATCAAGTAGTACAAAGAGGACTCTTCTGATTGCAGTTCACTTAGTTCACAAGTCTGTCCTTCTTTGGGGTTGCTGCAGTTGGAACGTGAAAAAGAGAGAGACAAGAAAGGGCATTGAGGAAAAACAAAAATAAAAAACAAAACCTGAAGCCACTAGTTGGGGAAAAAAACCCTATAAAATGGAAGTGCATTATGATTTTGTACATTTTCGAAATGTAGCCAAACTAAACCATTAAATGAGGATTTTGTTTCACAAAGTCTGCAAACTATTCAACCGCTAACCCACTATACCAAGTACGTGGTGCCAACCAAAATATGTCAAGATTACTAGTACTCAATAAAATCTCAAAACCAAATGACATGCAAGCTGTACTTCATGATTAGAGCGCTTCCTTATGTCAAGGAACATACATATTAGCTTGTTTAAACACAGCGATGGGCTGTCACTCTGTCTGTCAAAAGCAGTGGAGGGAGAATCTCGTGTTCACCGAAGTCATCCAGAGGATACTCCACACTTTCTGTTTCCCTGGCAGACAGCACGGACACCACCCGACCAGCGCTTACATCCTCTGAGAGGAGAGGCGCTAAAGAAGAAGAGTAGAGAGTGACACAGGGGGAGAGGGAGGGGAGGAGGGGGGAGGGAGGACATCCCACTTGACAAATCAAGGCACTAAAAGGCAGGGTGTGCAAGTACCTTGCCCAAGGCCCTGGCCCAAGTACAGAGATGGGATTAAAATAAAAAATGCCAAGTCACCAAGTTTACAAAATAAAAACACCTCGGATATTCTTTTTAAATCTAGGAAGTAATATTTACATAAAGCTATGAGGTCTACAAAGGACCCACATATATTTTGTCAATGAATTCTCATCACTCCCATGGCCATTTATATATTATTATCCTCACTGAACAAAGAAGAAGTCTAAGTCTCAGGGAGGTGAAGTGACTTGACCAAGCAGAGACGTCCAGAAACAAGTAAAACGAGGGCAGGGCACCTCCGTGGCAGGCCTCCAAACCAAGGGGGAACTGCACAAAATGCTGCTGCTCCTCCTAACACAGCGTTCCTTTTTGCACCGGGATGTTTGACTTTGAGCAGGATTCTAAAAATGGAGACGGGTAATTATCTCATTCTCTGACTGTCGACAGCACAGAGCTGCTGTGTGCGTCTACCTGGCAGGAGAACGAAAGGGAAGCTGTTCTCTCGTTTACAAAATAAGGTAGTGAGACATGTGATTATGTTAGGAACACTTGAAGGGAATTCTAGGTGAAAAGGAAAAACCAGAGCCTGCTTCCATCTGTTATTGGGGTGCTTCTTCCCTTGTGTGAGCCTGGCAAGTCCCCCACAGATGCTGACACGGGCGCATACCCTACCCACCTGTCCCCTTACACCCACATACCTTGTCCACACTCACCCGCTGGGTGATGGAGAATCACCGCCTCCCTTTAACTGCCATAGCCTTGGGGTGTTGTGGAGAGAACTAGAATTCAAACCGGCGGCTCTTCTGACATAGTACAATCTGGCTCCCTCCAGTCTGCCCTTCATACGCCAGCCGGAGGGGTCCAGGGAGCCTGGGTGGGTTGGTCAGGGTCAATTCCCATTCACACACACAGCTTAGCCTGATAAGAAGCCAGGCCTTTGAACATCTGGGCACTGCTGGCATTCTGTCTTCTTCCTCTGCCACTCATCCACATATACCCGACTGGCCCACACTGAGATGATTTGTCATGGCCTGAACTGTCCTCCCCCCTAAAACTCATATGTGGAAGCCCTAGCCCCCATTACCTGTGAATGTGACTACATTTGGAAATAAGGCCTTTAAAGAGGTAATTAAGACAAAATGTAGTCATTCAGGTGGATCCTAACCCGACATGACTAGTGTCTTTACAGGAAGAGATTAGGGTACAGAGAAAAGAGCATGGGAGGGCACAGTGAGAAAGCAGCTGCCTACAACGCAGAGGAGCCCCAGAAGGACTCAAACCTGCTGATACCTAAATCGTGGACTTCGAGCCTCCAGAATTGTGAAAAAATTAATTTCTGTTCTTTTAAAAAAATATTTTATTTATTTATTTTTAGAAAGAGGGGAAGGGAAGGAGAAAGAGAGAGAGAGAAAAACATCACTGTGTGGTTGCCTCTCCAATGTCCTTTGCTGGGGACCTGGCCTGCAACCCAGGAATGTGCCCTGACTGGGAATCAAACCAGTGACCCTTTGGTTCACAGGCCCAAGTTCAATCCACTGAACTACACCAGCCAGGCACTAATTTCTGTTCTTTAAGACACCCATCTGTGGTACTTTATTATGGCAGCCCTAACTAATATAACTTCTCATTCCCAGACTCCTGCAATGGTTTCCTGCATGCTGACCCCTCTACCTGACCCTTCACAGTTGGCCTAGAGGACACTGGCTTCATCTCCAGCGTTCGACTCAAACAGCAGGTCTCCTCTTCAGGAGATCTTCCCAGCTAGCCACGGGCACCCGACACACCCAACAGTTCATCTGTGACAACACAGAGGCTACGGCATACATCTGCTATGTGACCAGCCCCTGCTCTTACCTGATGGCTTGTCTCCTCATATGCTTAAGTTCTATGGAAAAGGAACCTTCTCTTACTCATTTCCCTAGCATAGCACAATGCCCACCAGAGAGGACATTCAATTAATGTTTGATATGGGGACAAATGGGGGAATGGAAAGAAACAGCAACCACAATAATAATAATGACAATAACTAAAACTCATTAAACATTTGCTGTGTGCCAGACGCTATAGTAACTGCTACAATTGCACTAATCAACTTTGTCCTCCCAAAGACCACCCAGAGTAAACAATATTGTTATCCTCATTTTATACCGAAGACTTAGGCAAAGCAAGAGAAGCAACTTGTCCAAGGTCATGCACAGCCAGCGGTTTAAAACCCAGTATCTGGTTTCAGAGTCTACATTCTTAAAAAAAATATGTTCCAAAGAGAAAGAAAAGGAGAGAAGGAAGACTGGAAAGGAACAAAGAAGAAAAGAGGTCATCAGTTGTGTAAACTTAAGAAAGATACTTCAATTCTTTGAAACCCAGTTCCCCTGCCTGTGCTTATCTCAGGACAAGCTGAAGTGAGATAATCTCCATGGACACAATATAACTGCAGAGGACACAATATAACTAACTGTGGAGCCACACAGCCTCTATTTCCAGTACCCAGAAAGCAAATAGCCAAGGCCTGCCACTTGAAGGCTGGATTTTCCAGCGGAGACGATTTGCATAGTGGGAAATCCTGACGAGACACAAGGAAGAGAAGAACTGGGTAGTTAAAGATGAGTGGAAAGAACTGCTGCTCTGCTTTGGGCCAGGGACCGGAAGCAGCGCAGCCTCTTTGCAGCACTCCAGGGACACCATCCCCCTTAGTGTCTCTCTGTCTCCTGGATCTACGCATTCCGACAACCAGCAGGGTCTCCGAGGATACCCTGTGGGGTGTCACCTCTGGTTCAGGAACCACAGATCACATCTGTGGTAGACCTACCAATCACTGTCGGGTTAAAATTTCAGTTTCTCTAATCCACTTTACTGGACTTAATACTTAGGTTAGGGACCCCAATGCCACCTGTTGGGGTGGAAGGATTTCCTGTTCTGTTTTCAAACTAGACTTTTCTTTTTGTTTGTTTTTTAAATACTGTCTTCAATAGAGCACCATATCTCTTTTTAGCTCTGATTTGGAAATGCATTGAGCCGGAAGCAAGGACTTACTGGGGCCTCGTAAAGAGGCACGTCTAGTTGTTCCACACCTGCGAAGACTTGTCTTCTTTGAAAGTTCTCAGATGACCTACTTACTTTGGCTGGGAGCAGAATGGTTAAAAGTGTTTGGAGGAAATCAACTGTAAATAGAACAGCTATGTTTAACATAATCCCCTCCAGAAGACTCCTCCAGTCACTGTAATCCACCCTTAGTATCAGGTGAAGGTTCTTGATTATCTCCCTGTGGCTTTATGTCTCACCACATACCTGATAATAAACGGCTGGATTATCAAACGAGATTGCAGCTTTAGCAAATAAAATCATGTTCTGTGTTAAGAGGGAAAATGCTTACTATCCCTATCTGCCTGGCTAAATATTTACATACCACAGGCTTTCCAGGGTCCCTGTTCTTTCGAACCTGATTTTTTAAAAAACAACACAGAGGTTAAGTTAACAGAAGGGGAACACACTGTGCTTTTTACACTAAGCTAAATGCACCTCTGGGAGAAAACATGGTCTGTCTAAAAGGAATAGAACTAAATCCAAGGCCTCAGGTGCCTGTGAGATCAATGGGTACATGTGACAAAAGATGGAACTGAGTGTCAGGAGGAGTCCAAATACCTACATTAAAGGAAACATAAATGAAGGAAAACAGAAATCTAAAATATGCATGCGTGCGTGTGTGTGTGTGTGTGTGTGAGAGAGAGAGAGAGAGAGAGAGAGAGAGAGAGAGAGAACAGGAGCAATGTGCTTTATAAAGTTCCATGGTGGTCTGTGGCTTTATACCTCTCAAAGCCTTTCTCCTCCATGACTTACATTCTTCCGTCCTCCCTACCACTGCACCCCACCCCCTGCCCATTTTCATCTCCCCCAATCTCTCCATTTTACAGCTGATATAACATGAGGCTGATAAATCAAGTGATATGCAGAAGGTCCTAGAAGGCAGGCCTCTGCTAAGTGAAATAAGTCAGTTAAAGAAAGACAAATACCATATGATTTCATTTACATATGGGATCTAAAGAACCAAACAAACAACACTGAAACAGACTCATAAATACAGAGAACAGACTGATGGCTGCCAGAGGAGAGGGGGTTGAGGGAGACATAGTGAAAAAGCTGAAGTACAAGTTGGTACTTACAGAATGGTCACGAGGATGTTAAGTACAGCACAGGGAATATAGTCAATATTGCAATAACTATATATGGTATTAGATTGAAACTGGAAAAATCAGTGTTCATGCTGCCTGTCACTACCAGAACTCATAAGTAGAGACAAGGACTGAATATTTATGGGTGCTTTATTCAGATGGCCTGAGAAGACAGCTGGTTATGTAGCCTCAAAAACCAC